GTGCGACTTGAATTTTGTAGATGGAGAGCCAATTACAGAGTAATATTCTTAGCTCCTTCTGGGTTTTCCCTCCTCTAAAGTGTCAGGAACACCTCAGAAGAATTTGAGAAACAGTTAACAAGCAGGGACAATTATTGAATACCTATCAATCTTTAGCTAAATAAAACTAAGGTATAAGGATGTCTTCCTCTCTCTTTAATGGAAATTTAAATTACACAAACAATATAACCTGCTTGCTAATTAGAAATTGCAACTTCCTTTAGCCATTTTTTTCTACCTCCACTCCGAGTATAACCTATTCTAGCCTTAGGTTCTGAAATACAGGCTTTCCTTTCATTGAATTAATTTGCCATGGTCTGATAAAATACCATGAATTATTCAAATTAGTATGACCTTAACAGTAAGAGTAGCTTGCAAATACACTGATTAAAAGGCTTATTGTCTCAAAGTACATCACATATTTCACCTTAAAAATAAATTTGTTGCTGGCTGGCATGGCTCAGTAGTTGAGTGTTGACCTATGAACCAGGAGGTTACAGTTCGACTCCCGGTCAGAGCACATGCCTGGGAGTGGTTGCGGGTTTGATCCCCAGTAGGGGGCATGCAGAAGGCAGCCAATCAATGACTCTCTCTTATCATTGATGTCCCTATCTCTTTCTCCCTTTCCGTTCCTCTCTGAAATAAATAAAAATATATTAAAAAACAACTCTGTTTTTAAAAATATATATATTTTATTGATTTTTTAGAGAGGAAAGAGAGAGGGATAGAGAGCCAGAAACGTCGACCAGCCGTCTCTTGCACACCCCCTACTGGGGATGTGCCCGCAACCCAGGTACATGCCCTTGACCGGAATCAACCCGAGACCCTCCAGTCCGCAGACCGACGCTCTACCACTGAGCCAAACCGGTTTCGGCAACAACTCCGGTTTTCAAAAAAAAAAGAAATAAATTTGTGATTTAAAAAATGCTAGTGCTTAAAATTACTTCGAAGTTGAAATAGCTGTGACATCACAAAAACATTTTTCTTTCCAGTCTTATTACATGTTCATTTAAAGGTTCAATTAGCCCTAACTGGTTTGGCTCAGTGGATAGAGCATTGGCCTGTGGACTGAAGAGTCCTGGGTTCGAATCCGATCAAGGGCATGTACCTTGGTTGTGGGCACATCCCCAACAGGGGGTATACAGGAGGCAGCTGTTCAATGTTTCTAACTCATTATCCCTTTCCTTTTTTCTCTGTAAAAACAAAACAAAACAAAACAAAACAATTACCCGCCCCCCCCCCTCCCCCCGCAAAAAAAAAGAACAAACAAAAAACAACTAAGATCAGCCCTGGCCAGTGTGGTACAATGGCTCAGTGGCAAGGAGGAGGAGGAAAACGAGGCCAACCAATCAGGAAATGGGTTAAATTTTCAGTCTATCTGGCCCGAAAGAGAATGTGTGCGTGCATGTGTGCATGTGTGTGTGCATATGGAAGTATGGGAGAGGGGTAGACTCTTCGGACAAGCAGAGGACAAAGGTCAAGAAGAACCAAATGTCATAGTTAAAGCACTTTCCTTTCACGAATTCCTAAAATTATAGACTAATTTAAAGTCTTCTGTCAGACACTAATGAAAGGAAACACGACAGCAGTCCTCTTTCTTCATCCATAAACAGGCCATTTCCAGAACAGTAGTGAGAGCGCAGGAATCTTATTTGAAAGACTTCTTTCCCTGCCTGCAAGGACTTTCACATACAGATCGCTGGAGTAAAAACTGAAGGCTGCTTTTAGAATCAAGCCCTGACTGGTGTTCCCAGTGGTTAAGAGTGTCACCCCACGCACCTAAGGGTCTTGGGTTCAATTCCTGGACAAGGGCACATATCTGGGTTGCAGGTTCAATCCCAGCCCAGTAGGTGGACGTGCAAGGAGGCAACCAATCAATGTGGCTCTCTCATCGATGTTTTCCCCTCCTTCCCTTCCATTCTTTCTAAAAAAAAAAATGGGAAAAAATATCCTCAGGTGAGGATTAATAAATAAAATAAATTAATAAAAAAAAAGAGAATTTGAAAACAATTAAGATCAGCCCTGACCAGTGTGGTGCATTTGGCTGCAGAGTCATCCCATATACCAAATGGTGGTAGTTTTGATTCCCAGTCAAGGCACATACCTAGGTTGTAAGTTGAATCTCTGGTTGGGGTACATGCAGGAGGCAACTGATCAATGTTGCTCTCTCTCCCCCATCCTCTCTCTAAATATAAAAAACAACAATACAACGGCTAAGTTCATACTGTATGTAAAAGAAACAATTTTGATAGAAAAGAATACAAGTATTTTTTAAAAGAGAACACACAGATGATAAAATATAGACTGCTCATACACATTTATTCTTTTATTGCTAAACATCCAATGCCAGCAACTATGGTATTTTCAAGTTCAGTCCTATGAGTGAATTACAACACAGTCAAAAGATTTAGAGAAAAAAATCTCTGTGCACCATTAGTATATAGACATTCAATAAATACCATAGGACAGACTGATGACTGAGTGCTACATATCCATGAAATACAAGTTTACAATTTACTACTAGAACAGACAATGACCTACAAGAGTGATTATCAAAAGGTCAAGTTTAACTGCATGTCTTTTCAAACTGAGATGCTGAAAGAAATATATACATTCTTTACAGATCATGGGTGATTTTTGAAGATCCTCAAAAATGTAAACAATGCAGAGGAGGAACACTGAAAATAAAATTTCATTGAACAAAATAACAACACAACAAAAAGAACACTTTTCTTCAAAGCCTCAAAACGAATCAATTTTCCTAATTGCTCTAAATCAAAATCAAAATGGATTATTTTCAGAGATGATAATCTTCCAGGGACACACAGACCTTCCGAGTTATTTTTTATGTTAACATATATTTACAGTAAATATTCAATAGTTTTTATAGCTTACTTAAATAGATACATGCTTCCCTAATCCATAAATAACACTAATTATCATCCACTCAACCATATTTATTGAGTGTTTATGATGTCACATGCACTGTGTTAGGGATGCAAAGAGGAGTATGACATGGTCCTTGCTCTAGAAGTGCCACAATCAAGGTGAAGAGACAACACGTAACATTTCTTCCCTTTCTTACAGGATGAGGCCATTTCTATACAAACGGGACTGATCTGCTCAGCACCCTAATAGAGTGGCTCCCCAATCCTGACCCTATGGAGCAACAGGCCAAGGTGTTTAAAAGCTACAAGAAAGTAATGTGGGTGAGATTTTTTTTTTTTTACCCAGAAAACAAAATTAATTGGAAGGATTTTTTTTCTATTAAATTTTCTCCTCAGCTTTAAAAAAAAACTGACCTGCACATATACAATGTTTTCATTAGTAAATCGCTCATCTCACGTGTTCAAATTAATTATGCAAGTATTTCATGGTATTCCCCAAGTGCTACCTGAACAGGTCTGAACATTACTCTGCTAATTACATTTTGATCCTGAAATGATTGCGTACAAACGGAACAAATACGTTTTCCCTAGGATAGGCTAATAATTTGTATGGTTTTAGTAGTGCTAAGAACTGATAACCTGGAGTCATTGCTTAAATACTAAAATCATACTCAATATGTAATTCGTTTAAGAAGGCAAGCAATTGTGTAATACAGTCTAAAGAGTTTGTTAAAAATGATTAAAAACTCGTTAATCTGAAAAAGGTGAACCCCCCTGGGAAGAAGTTAGATACGGGATTGCTAGTGTTCCTGAGTGTATGAGAAAAGGACATATTTGTCATCATGTACAATTGCTCATACACTTCTGAACTGGGCGGGGCTTTTTCGGCACAAGAGTAGGTTCCCGGCTCTGGCAAATCCACGTTGGTACTCATGTGAAGCTGTCCTCACTGTGCAACCAAGCGTTCTGTGGACCCAGTGAGGTAGCTCGGGGGAAAGATGGAAGGCCAGGATTAGATGTTTTATTGCCCAACACAGAGAATCGTGGGAACTGCTGGTGAGGACAGAGCATAGCTCGGAGCTTAAGGCAGTTGCTTCTCGAAGACAGGAACCGGGGAGCTGGGACTCAAATAGCCCCAGCAGCGTAAAAAAAAAAAAGGTTTACCCTGGAAACGGTTCCAAGCTTTGAAGCTCTGCAGAGAATGGTAATCAGGACCGCAGAGGTCCTGTGTCGTGGCTTGTGATGTCGAAAGACTCAGCTTAGTTCTGAGGTTCAACCCTAACTGCTCCAGCTCACGTGCTGCAAGTGGGAGAGCCTTCCTGCAGCCGATTCTAAATGCCAAGGCCAAGTGCTTCTGTGAGGGAATGGGGGCACGTTAGCAAAGAGGTAACTTGTGGGGCAAAACCTGTGTCAAGGTATTATAGGCCCTACTTCTTAATTTGTTCAATTATTTGGCATCGTTTGACAAAGATTTTCCCTTTTGGGTCAGCAGATTCTCTTATAAAATGTTATGAACTGCAATCAGACCCCAGTTATCAGAGTATAAAATAATACGCCATTAAATTTTAAAATACTTTTATAATAAGACAAAGGACAAGAAATACAGGTTGAGAAAATGCTCACCCTTTCCACTTGGCCAAAGTCTGGTCTCCTTCAGCTATGGATTGATGATTTCTTAAGAAGTTTTCCTCAACTAATTTTACCCAATTTTGTTATCCTTTGAAACTATGAAGATTCTATAGTCTAACTCATTTTGTTGTCTAAGGATCTTCATATGAGACAATGTGAAGTCACACAAAATGGTTTAACAAGAATCTGCACTTGTTGAGGAGTTGTTCCACAAGCACGTGCAGATTGTGAGTTCAGTCTTTGAAACTAGAATGTAGTCAAGGACTAGACCTGGCTTTTCTTCTGTCAGCCCCATCCTAGCGTTTGGATTCTCTGGATATAGGAGGAGCTTAAAAGTTGATGGCTAAAATGTCATTTTAAGGGAACACTTGATATTTCACACCAGGTACTGGTTTTCAGTATTGCATATTGTAACTCACAGATTGTGTCAGGTGAGTGCCAACATTACCGCGCTGTCACCATCCAGAGTCCCAGAGTCACATTGGCAGCCAAAAGGACACTGCCGCCAAGCAAGATGAAAAATCCTATCAGATCTTTCACATCATTGTCTCCGATCACTGAGGTAAGAGTGGCATCCAGGAAAGAGTTTAGAATCCACTGGCCGTCCAGAGCAAAGCAGGGCACTGCATTGACAATAGCCAGAGCTCCTGAGAGCGAGATCAGGTACCTGGTGAAAATCAGTTAAGGAGCCGATGGTGAGGTCTGAGTGGAAATCGCATAAAGAACATACTTTACCAAGACTGGATTTGAGATTACAGGTGGCTTTCCTCCTTTCTCTGACTCTGTGCCTATCAGTACAGGCCATTCCTTCTTGGATCTCTACTATTGAAAACAAATGACATTATTTCTAAGTTCAAAAACCTTGACTAGAAAACTAAAGGCCATTTGTAAACTAAGATATTCTGTAATAAACCCCAGGAAAGACTAAGTCTTTTTAATTCTTTAATGATAAAAGGAATTTGGAAGGAATAAGAAATAAAAGTATTTTTTTGATCCTTATAAGTATTACATTCCATTAGGAAACAAAGGTTTTGGCCCCTTGAACTCTATTTTGCCATAATCTATAAGGTTATAGCATAAGTAATGTAAATATAACTCTATTTTACTATCATCTGCACATTTATAGTGCAAATCCCTGAGACAAAGCTACAATCTATAAGATACAATCTTGATTGTACACATTCTTTAGTAACTGCTCATTTGTTTTCCATTTCATTTCCCCCCAAATCACTGAGAAAAGGAGTTTAAAAAATTTGAAAGTGGCAAAAGGAAACCCTCCACACTGTTCAGTTTATTCAAATCCTACACAATAATTTTTTTTTAAAAAGTTCACCTTGTATATGCAAACATAATATGCTAAAGAATACAAGAGATTTTGTCCTCTGAATCCTATTTTCGTAGTGGAAATGAGTCTGCTGTCCCTTATGCATTCCTTCATTTGCTCAGAACTATCAGGCCCGGAAGAGGCAGAATCCATCACCTCACTAGTCACTGTAGTTTTCATGCTTTGTAACTCAACTCTCAATTTGTATTCTTTTTTAAAAATATATTTTAGTGTTTTTTCACAGAAAGGAAGGGAGAGAGACAGAGAGCTAGAAACATCGATGAGAGAGAAACATTGACCAGCTGCCTCTTGTACCCCCCCCACTGGGGATACACCTGCAACCAAGGTACATGCCCTAGACTGGAATCAAACCTGGGACTCCCCATTCTGCAGGCTTACGCTCCATCCACTGACCCAAACCGACCAGGGCTCAATTTGTATTCTGTGTTCCTTTCCTTTCCTGTCCTTAAACTTTCTCTTTCCCTTTCAATCCCTCTCCTCCCTTGGACTTCTTCCCTCCTTAGTTGATGTTTTTCAACTTGAAGTCTCTACTTTAGTTGTTAACTGATATCTGTGAGGTTTACGAATGTTCTATGTAAGGTAAGAACGATCAAGTTCCACATAACACATTTTAAAACATTTTCACAACAGAAAGGATACTTGACAAATGTCTCCACGACTACAGGCAGATCAATGCTTAGAAAGTTAAAACGTGGGATAAAACTGGTGATGCTCACTAAAAGAAAAAAGAAAAAAGGAATAATGCATATTACTCATATAGATAAACATTATAAATTTTACCACATAATAAAAATTGGGCTAGCCTATTAAATTGGTTGAGAAAACCTTTTCCAAACATATGGGACAGGCTTTGTATCACATATAAAAACAATCAATTATTCTAAGAACATCTAATAATTTCTGGAATACAGAAATCATGCCCCAATACATACTTATATTTTGAGGTGAGAATAAGATAAAGTTAACTATATACCAAATATGAATACCAAACACAAGAGACTGATTTAATAAATACAGAATTTACATCAAGAGTCCTTATCCTTTCAAAGAGGTATAACCTTAAAGTTACATTCACTACAACTATTATGACACTTAACCTTTTGGGTCTTGGTTTTTTCCTTCATTGCTGAAAGAAGGATTAAGACTAGAGAATTAAAAAAAAATATTTTATTGATTTTTTACAGACAGGAAGGGAGAGGGATAAAGAGTTAGAAACATCGATCAGTTGCCTCCTGCACGACCCCCACTGGGGATGTGCCCGCAACCAAGGTACATGCCCCTGACCGGAATCTATCCTGGGACCTTTCAGTCCGAAGGCCGATGCTCTATCCACTGAGCCAAACTGGTTAGGGCAAGACTAGAGAATTTTTAAGGTTTCTTCCACTATGTGGATTCCACAATCCTGTTTTTGTTCAAAATATTTAAAAACTTCCTTGTAATTAAGTGGAACTTACAATATACACTTCTGCATTACCCTAAAAGGGGACCTTTTTTTCATTTGTGGAGGAGGTATTTAATATTTATAATCTAGAATCAGTTAGTATAAAATTAAAAAAAAAATGATTCAGATTGTACCTCAGAATATGACTGAAGCAATGAGAGCCCTTTTCAAAAGTAACATAAAACCCACATGCCCATCAACTGATTAATGAACAAAGAAAATGTGCTATGCCCATACAATGGAATATTATTTGGCCATAACAATGATGTGCTGGAACAGGCTACAACTTAGTGAACTTTCAAAACATTATGCTAAGTGAAAGAAGCTGGTCACAAAATATTCCATGCATGTGAAATTCAAAGAACAGGCAAATTTATAGACACCGAAATTAGTCATTGCCAGAGGTTGGGGGATATTGGGGGGAAATGAGGAGCGCTTGCTTAATGGGAATGGGGTTCCTTTTTGAGGTGAAAATATTCTGGAACTAGATTTTTGGTGATAGTTGCACAATTCTGAATATATTAAAAATTATAAATTGTTTACTTTAAAAGCATGAATTTGCCTGGCCAGTGTGGCTCAGTGATTGAGCCTCTTCCTATGAAGCAGGAGGTCATGGTGCAATTCCTGTTCAGGGCACATGTCCAGGCTGTGAGCTCAACCCCCGCAGTGCAGGAGGCAGCCGATCAATGATTCTCTCTCATTACTGTTGTTTCTATTTCTCTTCCCTTCCTCTCTAAAATCAGTAAAAAAAAAAAATAAATATTTTAAAAGCATGAATTGTATGGAATGTAAATTATATTCCAGTAAGTTATATCAAAAATACTAAAAAGCTTAGACAAGAGGAGTTAGACTATAGGATCTTCAGCCACATGGAGAAGCTCTATACTGTTCAAATAATTATGCTGCCCAGTTTTGAAATTATGTTCACATAAAACTGACGTGTCATGTACAAATCAAATTATTGTCACATCCCTGGCATTCTCTAGGGTATGCTGCGCTTGCCACTACTTTTGGGAGCTTGGATAAAATTTAATAAATTTTCACAGGATATCTAAGAGACCAGCTCTATGACTTGGGCATAAGTGGAAGAGAAGGAAAAGTGTATTACACTCCAAAGGCAGACATGGGATTCAGCTCCATCTTGCTTTTATAAATTCAGACTCTTTTCCTACTGCCTACATTTTATTTTATACTTAAGTTAGCAACCCCTGAAACTAATATAAAGTTGTATGCCAACTGTAACTGATAATTCTTTAAAATTAAAAACAAGAACAAAAGTTAACAAGACTTTGAAAAGTGAGCAAATTTACAACAAAAACAAATGCAATATGGCATCTGAATGATTTTCTGAGGGCCTACCACCATAATACTCACCTGTGTAGTGCAGGTGCAAAGGATGTCCTACGTACAACATATCGATTTGAGGTGGGTGCTTCACTTTTATTAAGCGGGTGTGAGTTTCCAGAGAAGGGGTTATGCAGAAACTTGAACTTGAGCCTTTTTTACAGTCTTTATTGGTTCTACACACTTGGGTGGCTTCAACTGCTTTCCGGGCAGGTAGACATGTATGCTATGGAAAAAATATTCATTAGTCAATACTAAAAATGATTAAAAGAAAACCACCAAGTTACAAGTCCTTCAATATCTTTAAATGTCACCTAGCATATTAGGAAAGAATTTCATGTAAAAAAGGCCATTTATGTGCACCTACTATAAATCAGATTCAAGTATTTTACTTTGTCCAAATAAGAGATTACCACTATACAATTTTAAAGATTCTCAGATGGAATGTGACACATGAAGTGCAGAGATTTTAATAAAATGATACAAAGTAAAAGGAAGAGAAGTTTTCATAGATCCCATTTTAGCTCTATCTGCTTATTATATAATAATTATATCCGATAAGCAAGACAGCTTCAGAGACAACTTACCAGGCGCTTATTAAAATTATTTCTGTAGGAAAAGCACACATCGGTGAGGCTTTGGTTGTTACAGCATTCGATTGAACCATCTAGCCGTTTGTATGCTGAAGAGAAATAGTTTATCAGAATCTATTACATAGAATTACATTTCTAATAAAAATTTTGTTTTCAAGACAACAACAGTAAGATGCATATGAATTCAAAAACTGGATAATTCAGAGCCCAGCTTGATGGCTACTCAGTGCAGAGTTTCACTTTATATTACAAAAGGATAGATATTCAAGTTTGGAATCAAGAAGCAGCACTTACCCTAGGTTAGCTCTCTTCATATAAACTGACCCACTTGTGAAGCTGGAGCTCCAGTCTCAGTGGGCTTTATAACTCCAGCTGGTCAAGCCCAAACGTTTAATAGCCACTGTTAGCTGCCCTAATGCCACTGGTCCAGTATCACTAGAGCTCCTGCATGGTGGTGTTAGCAAACAAAATGGCGAAAGGATGCCCAAGACACTCTCACCCCTAAGGAAACCACTGTTATATCACACTAGAGGCCCCTTGCAGGAAGATGCCTGCAATAAGGCTTCCTGCTGTGGTCTCCACTGCCCCACCTGCTTTCCTCCCTTCTCCCCACCCCACCTGCTTCTCTTCCTTCTCCCCCGCCCCGCCTGCTTCCCTGCCTTCTCCCGGCACAGCTTGCTTGCTTTTCTGAAGCATCACTCCCTTCTGCAGCGCTGTCTTCAGTCTTCGCTCTGGCCTGGTTGGGTTAATTTGCATACTCACACTGATTGGCTAGTAGGCGTGGCTTGTAGATGTAGCAAAGGTACGGTCAATTAGCATTTTCTTCTTTTATTAGTGTAGATACCTATCTCACCTCCAGCCTTACCTTGGGGCTTTCCTTCAGGAACCATGGCAGCCCAATTTGACCCCATAGATGTGTACACATTTGCCTGCACACCAATAATCCAGTTATCATTTTTGAATGATAACAGAAACTGTTTATTCCCACTATTCATTTATTGTTTTAAAGTTCTTTTTAAAAAAAATATATTCTATTGATTTTTCACAAAGAGGAAGGGAGAAGAACAGAGAGCCAGAAACATCAATGAGAGAGAAACATCGACCAGCTGCCTCCTGCACCCCCCCGACCGGGGATGTGCCCACAACCAATGCACATGCCCTTGACCGGAATCGAACCTGGGACCATTCAGTCCACAGGCCGACGCTCTATCCACTGAGCCAAATCAGTTTTGGCTAAATAGTTTTTCAAACTAGATTATTAAAAATGACATCTTGTACTGGCTACACTGGATCTTCCCTAGCCACTGCTGCTCTCTCTCCTTGGCCAACACAAAGTACAGAACAAAACAGGAAGCAATCTAACCAGTGCAACTACTTCTCCTCCACAATGGCTGGCGACATGGGCAGTTTTGTTTTCTTAGCCATAATTGAATGGTATTTAAATCTCGAATTACAAATCATATTTAAAATATGAAAGCAGACCGTGAATATGTAACGGCACTGACAAACCTGTGCCTACAATCATGCATCAGCACAATGATAAAGTATAAGGCAAAAAGTTATTAGAATTAAAAAAAAAATCAATACAAGCTGTGGGAGCACCGCTCGACTGACCTGGATGAATGGCTGCTCCTGAGATCGTTGTGTTCTTGCCCCAGGCTGCTCCTCCTCCTCCTCATTCCCTGACGCCTCTGGGCTTGCAGAGCTGACTCTGGAGGCTGGGAGGTGGGTTTGTGGCCATGGCAGGACTGAGGCCTACTCCACCACCTCTCAGTGCTACTGTCCCTGGGCCCAGCTCTGACCAGGTCCCCTGGACAGGTGAGTGCTCCGGCTCCACAGAAGATGCCGGACCAGGGAGTAACCTCTCAGAGGGCAGGCCCACAGCTGCTTGGCTGACCCTCACAGGCCACGCCCCCCACCAGAGCGCAAATCCCAGGCATCGGGCCTCTAGTATCAAATAAATTAAGTGGATAATGGAAAAAGTAGCAAGTGATGGGGACTGTAATGAATTAGAAAAAATTTATACTATTCTAAGGGGTTAGCAGCCAGGCCACTCAACTTGGGGCCCAGATTTGATAGTTCCTCCATTTTATTCCAAGAGGAATCAGAAATCTGGACCTTCATGTGAACCCTCTTGAATTTTAAATATTAGCAGCTGCATGAATTTTTTAAAAATACATTGCAAGCCAAACCAATTACATCTGCCAAGACTGCATTTGGCCTCTAAATAGTCTACCACTAATTTTCAACCTCTGGGTAATGACTGCTTCTTATGGTGATTTTTCCAACCAAAACATGAATCCATGGCTGTGGCTACTCTGACAGGATTAAGTATCCCTTGACATGCAGGATTTTCCACTAAAAAGTTAAATATTTTGTTACCAGGTAAGAAAGTAAACTTGGTATTTGCATTTATCAATTTTTTTAAAAGTTGTGGGTCTAAAATATCTTATTTTAGAATCTTTTCTACTGGATCATATTAAAGAACAAGTTGCTGAACCAATTTCTGGAACTCAATTCTTAACCTATAAAGTAGAGATTCTATGGAAAACTTTCACATTAAAGGTACTTCTATGAATCATGAGAAGCCAATCCAATTCTGCTTTGGAAAGAGTATTCAAGACTGCAACGGGAGGTCCCAGAGGCATTTATGGGTTCAATTTAATTTGAGTTAAAGATCAGAATTATTCCATATATCTCCCCAGTCTGGGAGACATTTAGGAAAATTTAAAACCAGATTAGTTTCAGAATTTCACTATTGGCATATTCGGAATGTACCCTAAGACGGGGCTTAAGATAGTCATAGACATCTCCTATTCTTCCAAGAATAGTCTAGACCAGAGGCGATTCTGGAATAAGGTTGGAGAGAAACTTCTTCAATCTATAGTTTATACTTCCTACTACTACTTTCTAGATCACTAAAATGAACTGAACTGAATTTTCTTAACCTAGCTCATTAAATACATACATGTAGTTAAAGCTCCAACACAGGGAGAGGCAAGCATATTTATCTTTAGTTCTACAGTATCACTTAATAATAAGTAGTTTAAAAATTATTTAAAACACACACACTCTCTTCAATTTAGGATAGCAAAGAAGTCTTATAAAACATTACAGAAAATTTGGGCCTAAAAATGATCTGGGTATTGAAAAGATGTGGAAAAGATTCCTGCAGTTTTCCTTTTATTACCTTAAAGATATGTAAGATAATAATATTCCTGTTGCTAAGCAGTTATGGGCATACACCCTCACTTCTTCTGAGCAGGAATATAGGTTACTCAAGGGAATGTCTGAGTCCGGGCTCACAGCTTCATTTTAGGAAGCAGTTGCCTTCAGTGTTCAATATCATTCTCCTTCAAATGCAGTTCAAATGCTGGCCTTGCTGAGTGTAGTCTTTCTTACTCAAGATAATGCTTTTAGAAAAATAAAAAAGAATGTTTGCTTTATGCATATATGATACAGAGTGTCCTCTCAAACTAAAGAGAGGAAAATAGTCCCTCCCCCCAAACAAACAAATAAACAAACAACAACAAAACCACCACAAAACAAAACAAAAAAACCACTAGTTCTTGCCTGTAACTTTAGTTCTATTTAAATCACTAAAGAAAACAAAAACTTCCCCTCCTTTCACATTTAAGCCTTTTCTTTTAATATTGTTGGGTGTTCGTATGTGCAATGTTCCGACTGCAAATAAACCAGAGATCTATTACAGGTGCAAAGAACTAAAAGCCCTCAACCACTGTCCTTTTTTGGACCTCCAGGCAAGGCCCTTCAGTCTCCAAGGAGTGTCTGGAATAAACTCCTTAGGCTTACCTCATGCCTCAAGGGCAGAAGTAAAATTAACCAGCCTTGGCTTTGCTGGTGACATTCATAGTTCAGCAGGTTAATGTTTAAAAATAAAAAGGAAAGGATTAATAGGGGAAAAAAAGGTCTCAACAATTTAATAAAACACACAGTCATTTCAGGCAGATTAACCACATTTTTTTAATCTGTAAAAAATGTTAGTATTTTAAGGAGAACATCTAGTCTACTTAATATCTTAATTAATACCTTTTGTTAATTTTAATAATATACCAGGGAAAGTCAGGATACGAAGTAAGGCGACAGAAATGACTGGTTGGGACAACTTATGAGCACTCAGAGTCAAACCTTTCCAAGGTGGCTTTATCAGACTCATTTTTTTTATTAGTGTGGAAGAGTAATACCTGCATTAGGTTTTTATTTTTTTAAAAATATATATTTTATTGATTTTTTTTTTTTTTACAGAGAGGAAGAGAGAGGGATAGAGAGTTAGAAACATCAATGAGAGAGAAACACCGATTAGCTGCCTCCTGCACACCCCCGACTGGGGATGTCTCCGCCACCACAGTACATGCCCTTGACAGGAATTGAACCTGGGACCTTTCAGTCTGCAGGCCGACGCTCTATCCACTGAGCCAAACCGGTTTCGGCTGCCTTAGATTTTTAAAGAAACACTTCAAGAATATAGCACATGACTTAGAATAGTGAAATATTCTAAAAGTTAATAAGAAAAGAGTTTCAAGAGTATTTCAAGGAAAATTTTCATTTCCATTCTGACAGGGAAAGGACAAAACCTCAAACATCTGGAATGCAGATATCTTAAAAAAAATTATACTGGAGAGAACTTTATTTGTTCACTGTGTCATTTTGGCTCTTGTAATTCAGTGCAGAGTATACCAAATTTGGAAAAATTGGAGGAAAACGATAAAGTAGTTCAGAAGTAAGAAATAATGGGTTCTCTTAGAGAAGAACACGTTGTGGATTACATACTTTCCATCAACTGAACATTTGGGAAGATGGTAAGCAGCTCTTAAGAATAGGAAAAATTGCCAAATATTTCAACCTTAAAGAATCAGGATATGCCGAAACTGGTTTGGCTCAATGGACAGAGCATCAGCCTGTGGACTGAAAGGTCCCAGGTTTGATTCCAGTCAAGGGCATGTACCTTGGTTGCAGGCACATCCCCAGTAGATGGTATGCAGGAGGCAGCTGGTCGATGTTTCTCTCATTGATGTTTCTAACTCTCTATCCCTCTCCCTTCCTCTCTGTAAAAAAATCAATAAAATAT